GATTAGTTCCAGCGATATGGCTTCGAAGTTTTGCAAGCTGTTTGTGTTTTCAAGGCTTAACATGTGCTGCTGTGAATAAGTCCAATTTCTACTAACTATGAGTCGGAAAATATTTTGACATTACGAGTAAGTAGGTACCTACATTTGTAGTAGTAGGTACTTGTAGTTATCAATTTTCTTTAGTTTCGGGAAATATAAACTGGACTCAGATTAAGAACTTCATTTAATTGGGAACTTGATTTTAAAAGTCATAAGTAATTTAGGTATGTCCTAAAAATTACCACTGCTTTGGGACAGTAAATGCGCCAGTGCTGAGAAGAAGCAAAGCAGAAAACTCAGTCACCTTTGTCGTTTTGTAATAATTTACTCAATACTTACCAATAATTACCTATTAGGTGACGAAGTAAATTGACTGATACGAGCCTATCTGATTATTCTGAGCTGACTGATAACGCATAGATATTTAAAACAACATAGGGAAACCCTAAAACCCATCGTCATAAATATAAACTAGTTAAACCAGTTTTACGTTTTAGTAAGTAAGTAGGTATAAAGAACGAGGAAAATAATGGCGTGTTTGGTAGGAAAAGTGTAACGGTGTAATTAGCATGTGTAGGTATCTTAAAATATTGTGAGAATAATAGTGAACACGTAACCTAGCTGGATTAAACACCTTTATTTCGCGTGTTTACATTGCTTGACGAGTGAAAGTTAACAAAAAGCCCAAGGTTATATTTTATGTTATGTGAAAGTGTTTTGGCCGACATGAATTCTAATAATTATGTTCATCAACCCATAGGATTCTCACATTCTTATGAACAAAAACGAAATTTATGACGGCTATAATTTGCATGGTTATTAGACTATCTAACTAACGTTAATCAAAAGACCAAATGTTCGAATTGCAAATATTCTATTACCTATTTATTTCATAGTAGATAGCACACGAAACTAATAATCAGATGAAACACAAAGATAAAATGGCAACATTCAGGCAGTCTTATCCCCAGTAAGGAAGCGATCTCTTCCAGACTTCATAAAAGTTTCGCGCGCGGTTTCGCTCACAGTTTTTAGAGTTTTAAAATTATTTATGAAATGAAATCGACCATTGCTTATTAATAACAAAGTTCCCAAAGTATGTGCCCAACATAGCTGTGCACGGGGTGCTAATTGAGAGCCGGGGGGCACTGCTATAAATAGAGGAACCCCCGCGTCGCGACTAGCGAGCGCACTGCACTCAATGCAGCTATTGGTTTACAAATTCATCAGACCACGAGGACGGAGGCTGATGCTATTTAAGTACGTGGATTATTGATTCAGAGGGTAGTTTGGTGTGTTTTAAACACAACTATTAAGAGGGTTATTGCTTGAATCTTTTTCAAAATTGATCAAACGAGAGACTGCAATAAAGTAGAGCGTGTTTTATTGACCCAGGCAAGAGGAACTCATAAAGGGAATCTATGCGGCATTTCGGTGGTTTGTAGACGACACGTTACACGTTGTAGAACCGAAATGGCAGATCCTGTAGGTAAATACAGCTAGGTAAATACATTTTCATTGTTCAAATTTTCCCTCGTCATCGTAAGTAACTTGTAATTATTGTAATCTATACCTATACAAGATAGATAAAAGTAAACGACGCAACACGTCGGGCGTCGACCTTATTTATTATTTTATTAAAATAACAACCCAAGGACGCGAATGTCACAGTGATAAAGGCTAAGTTTTTCTGCTAATACAAAAAAAAATAGGCTCGTTTTTTAATCGGCTTCCTAGAAAATGACATGTTGAGAATTGAAAATCGATAAACATGCTCTGTGTCGATAAATACGGCGCGCGTGCGCTTGATGCGTTGCGTTAGATGATCAATAAATGTAATTTATCTCGAATAATTATTTCTGTATCACGGGATTCGAACCAGCAACCGCAACGAATGTTATCCAAGACTCCTAATTAAACTTATATTACTTGAAGTCCAGAGCACAATACATAAAATATGTTGAACAAAAGTGAAATGGGTAAAAAAAATATTAATGGTACCTACATAGTAACAAAGTAGATCACTTATGTTTCATTCTCATGCCTATTATAGGTAAGCTTACAAATACATACCATAATCTAAGGATAATATAGATAAACAAGATAATGTGATTCATAGTCAAAGTATGTATTCGAGAATTTATCATTTTATGCTAACTCTGCAAATCCTGAACTAATTAGTGTTGTTCTGTAACACTTAAAACATAGTCCATAAAGTTCCTTTACCATTACAGATTGTAATTAACGAAAATGATCTATGACATCAGAAGCAAATGTGAACAGGTCAAAATACAAAAGGCTGTTACAAATCTTGAACATTGTGCAAGAGAGTCTAAAATTGTCTGCACATTTGTCAGTAGCTTCAAACACCATATGGCTCATTTATGTAGAAGTTATTAGCTTCAATTAGGACTACAAGTGTTTGTCCAAAAATAAAACTTCATTCATAATCATGAACATAACTCTGAAATGTAGCGAAGGCTGTGTAGTGATTATGGTTTTATCAAGTGAATTGATACTGTGTAACTTCATAACACAAAATGATGATAAAAATGTTATTTGTTTATTTTAGCATTAAAATTCAGATAAAAAATTGTAACAAAGAGGATATCAATGATATCATATTACAGTTTTTTGTAAAGAGGATTATATTAAGTTCTTAGTAAATATGCTATGTTGCATTATTATTCTTATTATGAGAATGAAAATGGCTGTGATTATTTATTATCAGACCACATGGGGTTGGAATAGCTTATAGGAATTTTTGGTTTAGAAATAGTAAAATATTTACAATTGCTATGTTAATCGATATTTTGTAGGTACCTACACATTTTAACTACGTTAGAGCTTGTATATGAATCTGATTTTTAATATTTCAATCGCTATGCTAGTGCCGATCACAAATTTTAGCCTTCAGGATTTTAAACAGAAGCCAGAATAAAATCGGTCTTTTACACAAAACAAACTGCAAATAAAAATTTTAGTTTTAATCTTTTTTTTAGTCTTTATGTAACATGAAATAGGTACCAACAATCTTAAGTTACCAGGATAATAAGATAATAACTTTTTCAGTCTTTTCTTTATGAAAAACCTTCCATCTCATTTAAAACTACCTACCCTGATTTAAACCCTATACCTACCCTATATTATATAGGGATTATCATTAGTAGTTCAAAGAAAATCTATTACACATAGAAATCCACAATGTAGGTTTCCCTCACTCTGAAAATTATAACTCAACCACAGTTTTACAAGACAGAAGTGAACAGTGTAGTCATCTGAGAGGTTTATAACCATAGGCTCAGTATAATTTAATGAATTTCCTATCAATTTTCACTACATTCTTGTTTTTAACCAGAAAGTATCCTATGATAGTAAAAATCAAAATTACTTACCTTCAGATTGTGGTAACTCCTGCTCAACACAGAGACAAATTTTTAGTCAACGCGAAGCACTCCGAAACTATTGTTTTAGAGCAATAATTTTCCGAATTTCATTTGATTCATAAAATGAGATCAATCAATACACACAAAAACAACTTGTATGACATGACATGAACGTCCCGTCCGTTGGTTGGCTGCTTACGTACAACGAAAGAACGTAAACTGAAAATGTAAATATTTCCGAATTATAAATAGTTGACTCTGCTTAATAGTAATTTAATCTAAGCAATGGACCAACTTATGTAGCATACAGTTGATTTTGTTCACTCACAAGTGATAAAACTGACGAAAAAATAAATTATTGCAACTACAATCTTGACAGCTGTCTCAGACGAACGCTCAAATTTACATTCTATGCCTGAAAAGGGTGACCACTCTGTGCCAAAAGAGTAACCTCTATTATGGTACTTACTTATTAGCGCTGCTACCGATACTTTTGGAGTATTAGTATTCTTTGATATTTATTTATGTATTAATTAATACAAACTAAAATGAAATCGGTTATTTACATTATTAAACCTCAAATCATCAATAATATATTTAATGTTTGTTACTTTTTTACAAAAATCTGCTGAACAGAGATTTTTCACATACTTAACTAACAGTGACATAATAATATTGTTGTGTATGTTACGGTAAATGTGATAAATGTGAAAATTATGAATAATCGCCGGTTATTATGAATAATTACCTCATGATTTAGTAAATGTGATTAATATGAAATCATTTATGTATGTATAAAACTAAATAACTTAACCTATTTTACACTATAAATCAAAACATTATGTTATGGGCAATATTATGCAAGAAACATTCTAAACTCATTATGCCAAATTATATCTCATCTCATAATTTGAAATTTTAATACCTACATTACGTTATTAGCTTTATTATGATAAGATAACTAGCGGCCACCCGCGACTTCGTACGCGTGGATCCCGTTTTACCCCCTTAGGAGTGGAGTTTCGTAAAATCCTTTCTTAGCGGATGCCTACGTCATAACATCTACCTGCATGCCAAATTTAAGCCAGATCCGTCCAGTGGTTTGGGCTGTGCGTTGTTGATAGATCACCTCACCTTTGAGTTATTTAGTTATTAGATAAATATTAGAGGAATGATGAGTACTGTTGAATCGTCATGTAATTTACCTATTAACATTTCTTTTAAAGTGGGTGCTTTAAAAGGCTTTAAATCATGTATTATAAAATAAAATAAAATTGCTGTGAACTCTTTATTAATATATAGGTAATTTTATTCAAGATTGGGCAACATTTAAAGTACGTTCTGATACCAAATATACACACGCCTAATACTGAAGTGTATGCTGTATAAAATTAATTTATCTTGCTTGGATTTCCAGTTGATTGATAATTTGTAAATTACTTTGTTATTGAGTTAATATGAAGGTATTGTTATTTGTTTGGTTTAATTTATAAATACTAAAACAAATAAAATATGACTGATATCTTATTCAAGTTTTTGAACGTACCTGTAACATTTTGTTTCTCTTTCTCGCTCTACGTCATTTTCTCACGTTCGATGTGTGGTGTCATGCAGATTTATTCGTGATTATTTTGTGAAGAAATAGTATAATTCTTGGAATGTTTAGTATTTTTATTTCTTTTATTCATTATGTGTAACTTCAATAAACTTGTGTTAGTGACGTTTTGTTGTTCTGGAAGAAAACAGTGAGGAAAATTTTGTTTTATAGTTCACTATGAATTGCCACCAAGTACTGAGTGGTGCCTGTAATTCAGGAGATCAATGTTTTGCTGTGGGTTCTGTGGAGGGAATACCTTTCACGGTAAGTACACCTGTCAAGACCTCAATGGATTTTGATAGCTAAGTCTCGTGACCACGAAAGTTAAATGCCTAATTACTGCTGACAGGAAAATCTAATTTAGCCTACTTTGATAAGCAGAGAACAATTTTCGTTTGGTCACTATTATCTCTAGCTGTTTGTCTATTCATTCAACCTTATTTCATTGCATTAGCTACACAGTATTAAAGATCAGTTTCCTTGGACACTGATTTGCTTTGCTCACACCTTTAAAGTTATTTAAATAACAATATCATAACAAGCCTTTGTTTATCTTGAATAGTTTTTATGGACCATTGTTTCCCTTTACATTTATTATCTTCTGTTTTGTTTCATTAGTACTTTTACCAAAGAAAATTAACATTACCCTTGAATTGAAATAATATTATTGAGGTGACTGGCATTCCTATGTTGAAAGTTACAGCATTTGTTCAGTGAAAGTAATTTGATATAATAAATGCTAGAACCTATTTTTACAGAAACATTGGTACTATAAATTAGACTAAATTTTGATAATTTTAGGCTTACGCAGCAGGATGTAACATAGTGATATTGGCCTCAAACTTTGAAAGAGTTCAAATTATCCCTGGAGCTATCCACGGCTATGTGCGCATTGGCTCTTTGGACTGCAGCACGGACACGGGGAAGATAGCTGCGGCCTACGGAGCTGAAGTGTGCATATTTGAACCCACACCACTCATCCATTCTGCTGCTACCACTCATGTAAGTATTTATTTTGTGTTATGTAATTCAATTTAAGCACTTTTCTTGATTGAATAACAATTTTTATTACACTAAATGTGATTGTACCTCTTGAAAGAGCTGGTTTTTTAAAACAAGTAATAAATTAATAGGGAAACCAGTTTTGTAAATTTACTGTAATTTAAAGTAAATTTTTATTTTGTTTTGTAGTTTTGAAGTTTAATTAATTGTTTGTTTGCATTATAAACCTGAATTCGTAAGTGATTATTCTTTTGAACAAAACTATAGAATCACTCAAATGTGAAGATATTATTATTTATGTCTATAAAGAAAGATAACAATATTTAAGTGAATAAGATAGCACAGAGATTACGCCTTTGCAGATAATTGATTGCTGATAAGTTACTATATTACAGGCATAAATACAAATTTTAATGTGGTGTTTACAACACTGAAATATTCAGCTAGCCATAATGATTTCAAAATTATGCTGAAATATTACTCTCTCTGGTTATACTTATTATTACAATTTCTTTTACTACTATGTGAATTATTGTCTGACTTGAAAATTTCAATGAACTCTTTCATGAAAGAAAAAAGTTTATTATTATAAAGTGTTGTTTGATGTATTATGTAATTATTTTTGGTGTCTGGTACTTTCCTAGAGTTTTTCTGTTAATCATTATTGTTAGTGTAGAATGTAAAGTAGATTACATAAATATTAAAACAGTGTGTATAAATACACAATGCTAAATTACTTCCAACAAAGTTGATAGGAGTCAATTAGTATAGTTTGAAGCATTTAAGGCTTGGTATTTCTTCTAAAGTAGGTATTTCGCGCTGTCAAAATCTGCGCGCGCAATTCTTCGCCGAAAACAGCGCGTCAAAGAGCTCCCGCCACAATTTCCAGCTACACAGTATAGAAATACGCAGTTGGTTAGGTTAGGTTGACTTCCTTCCTTTCAAGCGTCACACTCACAACACTTTCTAATAGAAATCATATCCAAGTGATACAAATTAAAACACCTTTCAGACTTTTTGGGAATATATTCTAGAATCGAATAAATATAAAATATAACTGCAGAAGTAAACACTGTTCAAAGTGGCCGTGGCGTCGCCCGACCTTCTGGAAGTTCTGCGCCGGCTTAAAGAATTTCAAGATTACGTCACCCGACCTATCGGTAGGCCATTGGGAGCTTGAGCGATTGGATTTTTTTTATGATAAGTTACTCTTAGTAGCGATTATTTAGAGCTTGGATAATAAATTTAATTATAGTTGTTGCAATTCACGAAGCTTTGCATGTGGTTAATAACATTAATCAGTATAGGTACGTATCAAAAATTTTAGCTTTCTCCAGTAACACTGGTATTATTATACTGTGACTCATCAAAGTCATCATTGTCAAAAATATTGACAAATCGAGAACTGTCACGTCCAAAAAACTGGCACGCGTCCGTCCTCCGTAAGCGCCACCGCGCGACTGATTGAGATTGTCCAAGCCGTCATGGGCGATTTTTTCCACATTTTTTAACATAGTAACTAAATAAGACGCAATATAAAAATTTCATCCGTTAAAAGCCCTCAAGTTATTTCTGAACTTTAGTTTAGTAAAAGATTCAGAATCTCAAATCGCTTATTTTAAAAATAAAACCATTATTAGAAAACGAATAGAGGTAACTTTGGGAATTTATTCTATCGAGTCAACTTCATCAAATCGTGTTTCCATCCGTTAATAGCCCTAGAAAATATCCTCAACTATGCTCAAAAAAAATCTTAGCCTTTTATTTTACTGTTTAGTACCTCAAAAATGAAAAATGAAAACCTCATTTTCGCCATTTTCTCTGTTACCCGGCCTTAATTGGAATTGTTGATTTTGTTACAATACTTTTGCCTGGTTATATTTGGAATACTAGGCCATTGGATGGTATTTAATGACTGGGTAATTTAGTTTTAATTTTGTATTCAGTCCTGATCAGAAGTGGTTCAAAAATTGTATGTAAAATATGAAAATTTCCTTTAGCTTACAAATGCTATTTCTCAATGATATGCATATATCTCAATCTGTCACGCAGTAATGAATAGCTCTTAAAGAGACAATGCATCGTAACGACCCTCACTTGCGTCATTAGTTATGGCCTAATTAGAAAAATGTGATAAATTGATATTTCTACATACTATTGCTTTTGATTATTTAAGTTGTAATATAATTTTATGAGGCTCAGAGATAAACATATACACAGACAACATAACATTCACCCATTTAATTAAAAAAATTGATGACAAAGTGATTATTAGGTCTTTTCCTAAGGTCTATCAAAATCGGTTCATCATTTTAGGTGGGACATAACAGCTATACTTTTTCGTATTTGAGAAATTGAGATTTGACTTCTGAATGCATGAATAAAATAATGCAATGCACTATCATTTTGTTCATATTTTTCACACACACACCTAGGATGTTTTAATTATTTTCCACTGTTGTAGCAATGTAGCAATCTATTTGAATGCAGGCAGACTATTAATAATAATAATGTGTATCCTCCCGGTGCAGTATTATCTAGTTGTTACCTAAACCACTTTATAATAGTGCCGCATAATCATTGCGGGCGCGAATCTGTCACTTCAATTGATCAATTTCTGCTGGACAAAAGTGAGCTCTACGCGTATCCTTACGTTTATTTTTCAATTTCTTGCGTCATGTGACTTACACCCGTATTCACAAACATTACTATGAGGTCTTATAGTCCGCGTGGACGCACAGGGTCCCAAAAACTTATTTTTTGATAATACTTGAGTGGCGGAGTGACACACATGAACCAATCACAGAGGTTTATTCAGCGCTGTGCGTTCGACTTCGCATAGCGTTACCGCTTCACGTAAGCAAGTATCGTTTGTGAATACGGCTGTTACTGATTGGCAGGGTCTGGAGTATCGCTGGGTGCAGACTGGCAAGCTAGTGGCGGATGGGCCCATCACCGCGCTGTCATGGAATCTCGAGGGAACTAGGCTTCTGACGGGCGGCAAGATTTTACAACTTTGGCACCAGGCGTCGCTTTATCAGGATGACAGTCAGCGTACGTATTTACGGTGTTTTAATATCGTGCAGATTTCATCACGGACGCGGGATTGTACAAGCTTTTCATGCGAGTATTTATTGTCCCGCGTGCCTATTCTACGGATTACAATAAATACATGTACGAGAAGGACACTTACGGGTGTCACGCTTAATAAATCCGCACGATATTAAAACACCCTTAGAGCTAATGGATTAAGCTTTTGACTGATGGAGGTTTTACAGTGTACACCGAGAGAGTGGATAAAGATGGTGCATTTGAGTGATTTCGGCCATGGCCGATCTTTACGGTAAACTCCCGTGCACAGCGCGCGTGAAAGTAGATAACATAGTTAAACAGCTTAAATACTAGCAGGTATCTACGATGTAGACCGGTATCTTCGCGTCGACCTTCGTCTTAGTTAGGTACTCATAAGTACGATTAGAAAAGTTACGGATATCAAAGTAATTAGACTTCTAATTTAGTTTAAACAAACTACAATACTACCATTTATACGCCTTTGAAAACGCCCGTATAATTATGAAACGCTATAATAATTTCAAACAATACACTACTGGCGTGTGTTATCTAACGTTGCGTTATTTGGTTTTATTGATAACATTTTGATTGATTGCGATCAAACAGTATTCTGGTTCATTTCATTCGTAAATAGACCATCATTAACTAATGATTATTATTGAACTCGATTAAATTAAACTGCATTGAATATGTAAATGTTTATTGTTTTTAATATTTTTACGAAATCGCAGCCAATTTCAATATTATCGGAATGGCATCGAAAGATATTTCCGTTCATCTTGACGTGGCCATCATACACGTTTCGTAATCTTTATTACACGATGATCGTTCTCGGGCATCGCTCACATCGAAATGTGAATTAATTCCAAGGTGACTTTTGATTTAAAGTTGGAAACCAATTGTTCCTTATTTCACGATATGATCAATGCAATGTCGCTGTTGTTTAAGCTCTTTTTAATGGGTTTTTAAAGCGAAAAGTACAAAATAAAGCTACTAGTTTCATAGGGCATATCTAGTAAGAGATCTGAGATGTAATTTGAAACTATAGAAATCGTATCTACTTTTTTCAAGGCTATTCACAAGATAACTTTATTAGACATTAATTACGCAGATATGAGCAATATTTTAATTTTTGCCTTATATTTCAGCAAGCTCCGGAGTCACATTTCAAATCGGTGGAAGCGACAAAGATGAAAAACCAAAGCAACAAGAGGAAGAAGAGCCCGTGAGTAACTTCCACATTGTAAAGGCATAATATGACTGATAAGATAACAGATTCAACAATGCATTCCGCCTCTGTTATCTATTTCATTATCTATGGGGAACCTCTATTATAGCTCTTATTCCACTAAATTGCCCAATAACAAATTCTAAAGTAGCGCACTTCAGTAGTAATTTAATTTTGAATATCTTTATTGATACGTTGGTTGTGTACAGGAAAATAGAGATCAATGAGACATTGGACAATGATCTTTTTTCCCTGTACCCTTCACATGTATATCGAATTATAATTTAAGCAATATTTACATTACATAATTATCGTAGTTACTATGTAAATAAAAACTATCTTAGTAAAATAACTGATAATTTTTCAGTGAAACGTTCGTATGTTGCCTCTACAATTTCTCATCAATCAATAGTCAATAAGTCAACAATAATGGTTCATTGGATAAGATGATATGTCAATGATCCTGCGTCGGATCTGCGCACGAGTCGGAATATTTACGGCGAACTGTTTATTTACTCGCTCGGACGCGCAATTATTCACTGGCACTGTCTTATCTCAGTGATATCTAACTCAATTTCTTTATAAACTCGCTCGGAATCTTGTGATAATGTTAGGTTTCTGCAAATATTTATCTAAATAATCCGAAGGTCGTCTGCAAAAAATCTTTTAGCTTGCTACAGTACAGTTACTACATCGATTTAACGTGTTTTTAATATCGTGCGGATTTCATCACGGACGCGGGATTGTCCCGCATGCGTGACACACCAGCAAGTGTCCTTTTCATACAAGTATAACGCATGCGGAGCGATCCCGTGTCCGTGATGAAATCCGCACGCGGATTGAATGGAAAGGTGTATATTTCAATATTGCAATATTCTTAGGCGCTAAAGAATTCATAATTTAAAAAAGTTAATAATCACAATATGTATAGTCAATTAACCATGTCGCCTTGTTAACTAACACATTATTGGCTTTCATGAAGTAGACTACATCCAAACATTACATAAGCACATAATATTTTGATTTCGAGGAGATATAACAGACATGACAAACTGCAGAATATTGCATCAAATGTACGAAATGCACTAATTGGTTATGAAAACATGCACCATTCGTCCTCACTGCATATAATTAGACTTCCAAAAAAACTTATTCAGTATGCACGACGTTTTGCAAACAAAACATTTGCAATCAAAACACAACTGCATTTTATGTAGTTGTACAGTCAGCGTCAAATACCTAGTTCGTGACACCCTAAGTGGCCAAAAAGTTGACAGCACAACCTCAATTCACTTGTAGAAAAAACCTGTTGCGAACTTCTGGGCTACTTTGGGTGTCACAAACTATTTGACCCTGAGTGTAATAGGTATTTTGCAATAATTTTCGGCGATATGAATTTGGTTGAAATGAAAAGATGTGAGGTCGACTGTACAATAATGTTTCACACACTACACTGCACTGTAGCATCTTAAGTGGTTGAAATAGGGGCTACTTACTTACATTGCAATATAAATATATTTCAGGTCAAAATTGAATGAAATGTTTTTAATTTGATTTGACTGGCGGATTGCAAGCGTTGTTTAAGCGTAGCGAAAACGTGGCCGCTCCGCTTTGAAAACGCTTGTAATCCGCCAGTCAAATCAAATTAAAAACATTTTATTCACTTTTGACCACTGGTGGCAACTTTGGACGTCAAATACAGTTAAAAAAAAAGGTAGCCCTTACATGTCTCCTTATCTCTTATCTATCACCAGCGCTTTGAGACAAACATTGGCAAGTGCCGTAAAGAAAGTGTGGCAGGAGGGCCCTTAGTCTAAAGTCATAAATGTTTCTTTCAGGGCTGGATATGCGTGTGGCAGTGCCACACGGCGACACCGGCCCACCACCTCGCGTTCTCACCAGACGGCGTGCTGTTCGCCACCTCCGGCATTAACGACAGACTCGTTAAAATCTGGTACCAGAACAAAGGTAATAAACTTATACGGCCGGCTTGATTTGCCCATTATTTATATTTTAGGGTTATGCGGTCGTTACGTCATATTACTTTTTTTTAAACTACTGCGTTAGGCCGGCAATACACGGACCGCTTGAAGCAGTCAGGGTCGACAGCTTCAAGCTGCGACTGCACAGTGAACTGCAGAGTTCTATGGACGCACATACACGAACCGCTCGAGCAGTTGCAACTGATTCGGGCGGTCGGTCGACAGCACGGTGAATTTTCTGCCGGCCTTAAACAATATTAACTGTACTTCTTTTGTTTTTCGATTCATTTCGTTTAGGATTACCTAACCCTCACGTCTGGTGTAGTTATAACGCAAGCAATATTGTAAACTAAAGTTATAGATCGCGCCCCACCAATTTTTGGTCGAGGGAAGGGCGGGGTGCAGGGAGTTTGATCCAAGCAATCCAAGTAGTGTGCATGTGCACTCATGGATTAGCGATTAGCGTGTATCGATAACATTCAAACATTAGCGAAAGAATGGTGGGGCGCGTCTTCGTGGATGGTACGATCTATACTATGCTTACTTAGATATTTAAAATTATGCAAACAAATCATAATTATGGTAATAAAATGAGTCAGGGTACTTCAGATCTAGGACATTCCCTGTACCATTAAAGCTGGCTTGCAGCCAAAAAAGGAACGATTAATGTCCAACTTTCATAGAGTAACGTACGAGAACAGCAATTTTATAGCAAATAGTTTGTTTGCGCTGTCTAGACCGATAAATGAAGTGTGTCAGTCTGTGATTTAGTCCAAAGATACGCAGTATATCCTTATAGTTAATTCTTCTATATCCTTTTTCTTCTACATAACTATGTACTTTTAATAAACAAAAAATAAACTATATTAATGGGTTTATCAAATATTTACCTACAACTAATAAGGCTCTAAACTTTGCACGTGACAGCGGCTTTACTTTTCTGATTCACTGTTGATTGTTTACATAGTAATATACTTTGTTTGGCACTAGTTTTACGTAGCAAATAAAGGACAGTGATAAGTTGTAAATAGGTGCTTGTCCGTGTTCGTAGTACAGCAACAAGCGATAAGGTTTTTATTTATTTCGCCATTGTCTCGTAATGTCAATATTTTGGATAAAGGACCGAATGTTTCAATGTTAAATTAATACAAACTCTTACTCCTTAAAGCCCATTTTCCACCGCCAAAGAGGTATGAAATAGGGATGTTTAAATGAGCGGTCTTCGTGTACATAAAATAAGAGCGATAGCGAGCTCATTTTTACTCTTTTTACCTTCTTTCTACTCTTTGTTGGTGGCAACAGACGTAATGCTATTTCGTATTGCGCTCGCGTTGAAAAATCCGCTTAGGCTGGCTTACGAAATATTTGAATTTTAACTTTATATAATAATAATAATAATGGCCCTGCTCCGCTGCCAGCGGGTTAACTATTTTTAAGATTTTTGTTTTTATGTTTTTTTTTGATAATTAGGTACATTGTAAAAAGAAAAAAATAAAAATGAATAAAGAAATAATAATAACTTTATTTGTCCAAAACACAATCGTGATGTTAAATAAGGTACATGTTAAAAATTTATGTAGTACATTGGTAGGCGAGATTGACAACTACCCTCCGCGCTAGTAATAAGACTGTGTTGCGGCAATATTGCTACAGCTAAAGTTTTTGAAGTCCAAAATGCCTCATTGTAACAACTACAATATTGTTTTTGTTTGTTCTAGTATTGTATCAGCAGACTCACAACGACCATTCCCAGCAGGAGTTGAACTATACGTTCATTTACGTAGCACATCCGCGGGCTGTCACCCACCTTTCATGGCGCAAAACCAGCAAATACATGCCCAAGTAAGTGTCTCGACATTAATAAATGTTACTTTTAGAATTTCATAAATGATTTGATATGATTGATTGATATTAATGCTGTTACTCCTAATTTCGAAATTATTTTTCATCTTGCTTCAACTGCTTGAAAACTGCAAACGATCCTTGGGTATTGTTGGAGAACACTTTTTTTTTAAAGATTATTAGTTATTTGTATTGCCTAAGTTACTAATAGTCCCGTTAGCCCCTCGTGTTAAGCTAAATAAGCTTGTGTTACGAGTGGGCTCACCACAACAGTCGAGCGGCGGTGGGATTCGAACCCGCGTTCCTCGGATCTCGAGTAGGCCACTCCGACCCCATCACCGTTCGGCTATCGTGGCTATTTAGTAATCCTGAATTTCTGTTCATCTCAGGGGCAGCGTCGGCAACGTGCTAGTGACGTCATGCGTGGACAACATCTGCCGCGTGTGGGCCGAGACTCTTCTACCAGACGACGAGTGGGGCGGTTGCGTCCCAGCGCATGCGCGCTCACCGCCGCGCCGCCAGCGCGCCACGCACCGTCATAAGCACCGGTTCATGCAGCGGCTCAAGCATATGAAGTGAGTGCGGTAACTAGCTGTGACGTCACAGGCGTGAGCTATGACTCTTCTACCAGACGACGAGTGGGGCGATTGCGTCCCAGCGCATGCCCGCTCGCCGCCGCGCCGCCAGCGCGCCACGCACCGTCATAAGCACCGGTTCATGCAGCGGCTTAAGCACATGAAGTAAGTGCGGTAACTAGCTGTGACGTCACAGGCGTGAGCTATGACTCTTCTACCAGACGACGAGTGGGGCGGTTGCGTCCCAGCGCATGCGCGCTCGCCGCCGCGCCGCCAGCGCGCCACGCACCGTCATAAGCACCGGTTCATGCAGCGGCTCAAGCACATGAAGTGAGTGCGGTAACTAGCTGTGACGTCACAGACGTGAGCTATGACTCTACTACCAGACGACGAATGGGGCGGTTGCGTCCCAGCTCGCGCTCGCTCGCCGCCGCGCCGCCAGCGCGCCACGCACCGCCACAAGCACCGGTTCATGCAGCGGCTCAAGCATATGAAGTGAGTGCGGTAACTAGCTGTGACGTCACAGACGTGGGCTATGACTCTACTACCAGACGACGAATGGGGCGGTTGCGTCCCAGCTCACGCTCGCTCGCCGCCGCGCCGCCAGCGCGCCACGCACCGTCATAAGCACCGGTTCATGCAGCGGCTCAAGCACATGAAGTGAGTGCGGTAACTAGCTGTGACATCACAGACGTGAGCTATGACTCTACTACCAGACGACGAGTAGGGCGGCTGCGTCCCAGCGCATGCCCGCTCGCCGCCGCGCCGCCAGCGCGCCACGCACCGTCATAAGCACCGGTTCATGCAGCGGCTTAAGCACATGAAGTGAGTGCGGTAACTAGCTGTGACGTCACAGGCTCGAGCTATGACTCTACTGCCAGACGACGAATGGGGCGGCTGCGTCCCAGCTCACGCTCGCTCGCCGCCGCGCCGCCAGCGCGCCACGCACCGTCATAAGCACCGGTTCATGCAGCGGCTCAAGCAATGAAGTGAGTGCGGTGTCTGGCTTGTGACGTCACAGACCATGACGTCATAGGTGTGTGCTATTATGTTCCCGCCGCGCACCTGTTTATGCAGCAGCTTTAGCACATTAAATGCTGTACCTATCTAGCAAGTGACATCACAGGCGTATTTTGTCGGGACGAGTTGCTACTGTGCAGATTTGTCCTTCAATAACACCATTGTATGGATATGGATCTTCAATTAATACTTTCCTTTGCCCAATAATTAGCACAAAGCTCATCAGTCGTAAATACCCGAGGTCTCTGAACATGATGGCGATTAAAATAAGACGGAGTGAAGGCGAATTTCTGGAAAGAGATGGAAGGAGAGTAAAGAACGTGTACCTTTAACGCCCGAGTCCAAACCTCACTTATCCTATTTTAAGTTTGTTTCTTTATTATTTGGGTATCAACATTTATTTGTCAACTCAGCACTAATGTTTCAGGACATGTTTCCATATCAGACGGAACGCGCAGTCGTCCAAACAGCCGGGCGCGCCCATACCCACTCTGCCTTCCACGTACAGCGCCCACGACTTCCACAATCCTTACCACTCCAGCTCTTACACGGGAGGTGAGTTGAGTTCAGTTGGCGGCACATCAAGCTACTAAAGTCCGGTTGCCGAGCACATAGAATTTCGTACAATGACCCCAAGCTACCCATCCTTTTCGCTCACGCGTAATTATATTGCTGTCGCGACTGTGCGACGGACAGCCACAGTGAGTGTGCTCGGCGACTGGACTTTATCACAGAATAATAATATGTACTACGCACAGAAAGTTTATTTTGTATTAAATAAAAAACTACTCAATTAATATGGTGTAATTTAGCTTGTCTCAGAGTCGAGCACCATTTCGTTTACATACGTCAGTGATCGGTACTGTGCCGATGCGATAGGGCTGACTGCTACAAGAAGCTACTGTGTCGCTATCTAGCGCACCACGCGCATATTTTCTCTTCTTTCCATAGCGAATAACTTTTTTACAATAGGCGAAGAGTACGCGCGCGTACGTCACTCACTATTCGCTCGTGAATCCTTTGTGGATTAATCCCGCCGGCAGGTACGCCGCGCGTGTTTTGTTTTCGATGCCTTCTTATGGAGATGAACAGGCCTGCTACTATGCATTATACCACAGAAGAATAATAATAAGTACTACGTACAGAAGTTTTACTTCGCGAAGGTATTTAAAAAAATGTATGCTCAATGTCATTAACAATATGGTGTAATTTAGCTTGTCTCAAGAGTCAAGCAAGTTTGACAGAAGTTTTGTTGACAAACGTCAGTGATCGGTACTGCGCCGAAGCTATAGGGCTGACTTCGGTAAAATGATGTGACGTGAGGTGCCAATCTGCAGAAAATGGCGGAGGAAATACATGATTTAGCATGAATTATCATGAATAATATTAACTACTTATTTACCTCTCAGTGTCTTGAGGCAACTTAAAAAAGTACATTCTGTGTTTTTATTATTATTTAGGCAGTTAAATACTGCACAGTATTTAGTACACCATTTTCTTTATTTTCTTCCATCATACACAAGAATACGCGTGCGTGAGTCAATGTTCGCTCGTATGTGAGGCCTTGTCGAATAGTACTCTTGTAGGGGGCAATCGTGCGTGTTTTGTTTTCGATGTAAACTCGCGGAGATGAACAGGCCTGATTATACGTAATAGGTTCGATTTTGTAACAAATGGAATGGTATAGTCTGATGTACTGTCCTCTTTGATGATAACAGTAGACGATTGAGATTATAAGTTTATTTGCTTGTGACCTCTTTCACTCTATTAATTAAATTAGGTGACTCAATCAGTCCGCCTAGATACAATAATTACACTCGTTCTGTAAGTATTAGAATATAGTCATATCTGAATCAATATACTACAAAATAATAACGGTACACGTTCCGTATAGAGATATTTCTAATCTTTAGTGGACTTTCTACTATTGTCAACTTTGAGGAATCATAGTATTTGGTTTAGATGTATCGAATTTTAAGCTGCCCACAGTGCCCACCTAATGCAATTTAACTCTCAAACAGACAATATTGGACATTAGGGTAATAAAATTATGACTGCGAATCCCAACGCCCATTATTGCAATCTAGTAACCATACTATATTGAATCTATGGCCTAACTGGGGTCCCGTGCGTAGTGGCGAAGATCGATTTAGCGAAGTACGTTTTGGCGAAAAACACTCATGATGGTACGCTGGAGCGAAAGGCTACTGAAGCGAAACACTCGCGGCCGAAAAATAACTTTGCTGACCTAAGAGAGCTTAGTGTTGATTTATATTAAAAGTTTATTTGTTGATCAATGACATTTAGTAACAATTTAATTTCATGAAAATACATGTTATTTCCGAGTCAAAATATGTTTTTATTTTTTTTATCATTAAAAATTTAATATAATAAACATTTCATATAAATCAAAATGAAGGTCTTCTAGGTCATCAAAATTACTTTTTCGGCCGCGAGTGTTTCGCTTCAGTAGCCTTTCGCTCCAGCGTACCAACATGAATGTTTTTCACTAAAACGTACTTCGCTAAATCGATCTTCGCCACTACGTACGGGATCCGCCTAACTGTGTGGCCAAAAAACTTTGAAAATTATTGTCCGATTACGGGTTAATCTCGGAATAGTTCTTCTATAATAGTGATACAGGCGATTTCTCCAATCCAGGCCTTCATTTCCACCTCGCCGCGTCAATAAACGCAGAAACAGACATCCCGCTTGTGCCTTCGTTGGCGGGAGGCGGTCGCTTCATACTGCATTGGTTGCACAACAAGGAGATGCACTTCACTAGCCAAGCGGAGGCTATACTGCACGACCTCACTAAAAAGGTTGGTTTACTTGTGTTTTATTATCTTTTACAAAGGTCTCACGTGATCTGTCAATAACCAATGACATTAATGTGCTGCATCTAATTTTATTTATTATACGTGTAGCGCTTATCTGAATCGGTTCCTGAGGTATGCGAGCGGCATGAGAGGGTGTTTTAGTGACGGTCAAACGTCAGTGAGACTTCAGATTGTCAGAATGTCATCCCGTGCCGCTCCAATATAGATGACCCACACTGAACTGTCCCACCAAACTCAATGACAGGTGGGCGCTACCATCGTTCAACTATATGGTTTCCAACATGGCAAAAATCGGAACCAGCGATCCGGTATTGACGGTGGCGCCTCACTGTCAATGTCATGCATAGGACAGTTCAGTATTTTGGAACTATACCTCAGGCACTAACTCAGTTCGCTATACCTATAGTGAGACTATTTTGTACTTTTCTTTATTAAAATGTCAAGCTGTTAAAATCGGTTTTGTGATTAGAAAGAAATATGAATTTTATGAATACTTGATTTCACTGAGTGAAACATTGCGTTGTTTTATTATTGTTGATGATGTCAAAATCAACCTAACCCTGATTAATTACCGTTGTATCTATTTCCACGTCCTAATAATTTAATTTCTCTACAGATATTAGATAAAGAAGAAACGGATGAAGCTGGTTCAGGTTCCGACCACACCGCACATCCAGAAGGGGAAAACGAGACAAGTATGTTCTATACAACTTTTATCAGACGCTTTGGGTAATATTTGGCGAAACTATTATACTGCTTAGAATATAACCTGTTATTGATCTAACCTAATATTACTGCGCTTGTGTTATTTACTAATAATATGGTATTTACTGTTGTTGTATTTAGTGTAATCGAGTCATTATAACGAGCTGCTGCGTAAAAGCCGTTGAGCTTAGAGTCCCCACACTAGCGTTTTTTGAGCGTCAGTAAGCTGACTTGGATCTTAAGACAAGGCAATAAGATTAAAAAGCACGTGGTAAGGTATGCATACTATGTATATTGCCACAACTGGACGAAAATCTCTAGTGTGGGATAGGCCTTACATAAAGTGTTCGTGCGCTTCGTAATATTTAGCTTCTCTGCCCATTCCATGCTGCCATAGGACAGGCACATAGACGGCCTAGCCATCATTTGACTAAAGCTCAGTCCGAGGATAACAGCAATAGTGATGAGCAGCCAGGTAAAGTATCGATTCATCGACTGCCAGCTACATTACATTACATACTATTATTATTGATACTTAATACATTACTTTCATACCCTAAACACGCCTTACAAGATCAAGTTAGTATACAGACTCATTTATTTATTATTATAACAGATAGACTATATTTATTTTATTTATTAATAGCTACAGTTACAGTACATAGAATACTACTTATTTAGTAAAAATACAGCTACAAATCTACTCACAAAACTGACAAAAGAAACACAAAATTACCTACAAACATTTTTTGGACATTATTACGAGTACAAAAAAAAATACAATCTCTTGTGATCAGAATTTAAACTGAACGACGTTTCACATTATATCCGTGGTTTATAATTACTCTCTATGATAGTTGATTTCCAAATGTAACCAAAGATCAACACAGTATTAACTTGTTCAAAGGTAATCAATTAATCATTTTACAACAGGTAGTGGCAACCACAGTCACCCGAGTCTGTCCAACACGACGTCTATAAACTCGATAGCGACTGACGTCACCTGCACCCACCTTCCCGATTCCTTGGATGCTAAGATCGAGTCGCTACTGAGGGATTGGCACCAGAGTCCGGATCTGTTGTTCTCGATACACCCTGTTGATGGCAGCTTTCTTATATGGTAAGTTTTTTTATGAGATATTTTTTTATTTATTTAAAAATGGTCTCCAGAGTGTCTTATAGCACAGAATAATAATAAGTACTACGTACAGAAGTTTTACTTCGCGAAGGTATTTAAAAAAATGTATGCTCAATGTCAACAATATGGTGTAATTTAGCTTGTCTCAAGAGTCAAGCAAGTTTGTCAGAAGTTTTGTTGACAAACGTCAGTGATCGGTACTGCGCCGAAGCTATAGGGCTGACTTCGGTAAAATGATGTGACGTGAGGAGCCAATCTGCAGAAAATGGCGGAGGAAATACATGATTTAGCATGAATTATCATGAATAATATTAACTACTTATTTACCTCTCAGTGTCTTGAGGCAACTTAAAAAAGTACATTCTGTGTTTTTATTATTATTTAGGCAGTTAAATACTGCACAGTATTTAGTACACCATTTTCTTTATTTTTTTCCATCATACACAAGAATACGCGTGCGTGAGTCAATGTTCGCTCGTATGTGAGGCCTTGTCGAATAGTACTCTTGTAGGGGGCAATCGTGCGTGTTTTGTTTTCGATATAAACTCGCGAAGATGAACAGGCCTGCTTATAGTTATATGACGCTGCAACTACTCAAACCATATTGTTGTTGTACACAACGAATACTGGTTAAATAGCAAGTTCAGTCACCTACAATATATTCTATCTCACTCACTCTCAGAAGTTTATCTGAGTGAGGGATAAAATAAAAAAAATCCAACATTTTTAGATTTCTGCATCAATTTAATATTGTGACAATGTTCATTAAATAGTATTTATTTTCTCATCACAAACATTACAATGACACAAGTTTTTAAGCACATTAATTACAATTCAAAAACAAAGTTGTTTGGGTGAGACTGATGCCTGTGATAGGTATTTGCATACCTGTAGTACAGGTCATCAGGCTCCCACCACCCCAGATATTGGCACAATTTATAATTAACTAGCTTTCCGCCCGCGGCTTCGCCCGCGTGGAATTTTGTCTGTCACAGAAAAACTTTATCGCGCGCGTCCCTGTTTCAAAAACCGGGATAAAAACTATCCTATGTTCTTTCCCGGGACTCAAACTATCTCTATGCCAAATTTCATCAAAATCGGTTGCGAGGTTTAAGCGGGAAAGCGTAACAGACAGACAGACAGACAGACAGACAGAGTTACTTTCGCATTTATAATATTAGTTGGGATTAGAGAACCGATATTATATTATATTATTGACTCAGACATGGTAGTGATGTATGGCAAGGATTACAAGGGCAGCGTATTAACTATTAATTAGAGTAATTAACCTAATTAAAAAAGGAAAAGGAACACTAGGATTTGTTATTGTAGTGTGTGTGTGTGTGTGTGTGTGTGTGTGTGTGTATGTGTGTGAGTGGTGAGAGAGAGTTGTGTGTAGAGTAGTCGTGTTTGTACATTTTATGAGCATCGTTAAGTGAGCGTGTGAAAGTACTTTTCAGTTTGATCATAACTTTTAGTTAAAAGGAGGCATCGTAAGCTTTTTTTACATTCAAAAAATGTAAGTTGGTATAACGGAAGTTTCGGCGTTAATTTTATTGTATAAAGAGGGTCCTAGATAGAAAAAGAATCTCTTGGTGAAAGAGTAGGCAGTTGAGGGAACAGTATAAATTTTGTCCTTACGTCGTTTATCTATCTGTACATGAGGAGTTACTTTGTGTTGAAGACGAATAACATCAAGTATAAATAATTGGCGCACAGTCAAAACTTTGCATATCTGGTATGTTGAATTGGTCCGACTGTTATAAAATACAAGTTAAAGCAGACAAGAATTCCTCGGTCTCATAAAGCTGTTGAATGGCCTGGTTTTGCCACTCAGCAACATGCCTACCTGTAAAATGTATTAACAATGGAACATCTCCACAGGGTGTGCGAATGGCTAGACGAGTTACAAGCCGGCGCGATCCGGCAGGCTCAAGTGTCGTTCTCGGCTCGGATTCCTTCAGCTTTTCCGTTAGGAGACGCCACCACTATGTGTACGCCCGCGGCGTTATATCATGCCGCCGCGTTATACCAGCCGCTGTATGTGCGCCACCGAACTAAACCTGTGATACCTGGTGAGTTGATATACCTAAGCAAATTACCGTGTATGAATATTTTTATTTAATCCACAAGTAACATCTTGTTTACTCCTATAATTTTAACCCTTTTTCAAAAGTAATAGATCGCTAAGTTAAATAATAAATAAATGATTATGATTAAATCACACGGTTTCATCATACAAGTTTCGCTCGCTACGCGCACGGGTCATAGCAATGTCACCTTTAAGGTTCTGTAAAATTCTCAGGGCGGTGATATGTAAATGGTTTTTAAGTGATTATCTTGTATGAATCTTTATGGCTCCATAAAGTGATTATCTTTGAATTATCTTGTTTAACCATCCATATTGTTGTAGGACAACAACAACAGCAAGGGGAAACTGTTACGACTCCTTTGGCTAGTGTACAAGAGGAAAAAGATGAGAATGAGTGGCCTCAAGCAGATGAAAATGCAGAAACACAAGAAAATGGTACGTTTAACCAATGAAATTGAAATAAATTTATCAGTTATAAACGTACGAAAGTACGTTAGAAAATTGCTTGCCTGTCACTCGGACTGTATTTTAAATGTAAATCTTATGTGTAAATAGTAATCCTACAAAATCCCTAGGTGCTTGCGAAGAAAACAACAATGAAATGCAAAGGAAGATGAGTGTAGCCACGGAGGACCAAGGCGAAAATCAGGAGGGCGATGTTTTAGACTCAGCGCCCGTCATATCCATGGTCACCAATCATACTAACGGCACGCTTAACCTCTGGCAGCTAACGTTTGATGATAAGTCTAAGTTCTCTCAGGTAAGTGGTAGAAAACAGAATGACATTCAAAATTCAATTGAAACTCAAACTAACCCTTGACTGGTGTAAGTTATAGAATATAAGCTTGAGATTGGTTTGTGGAATATTATATTTTGAACTAGCGGCCGCCCGCGACTTCGTACGCGTGGATCCCGTTTTACCCCCTTCATCTATCTTACACGGTTTAGATTTTTTCATACAAATGTTTTTTCCCGCTAACTCCCGTTCCCGTGGGAATTTTGCAATATCCTATTGTAACTGAGCTTTAAGTTAACGAAGGTATCTGCATGCCAAATTTCAAGCGTCTAACTTAAGCGGTTTAGATTTTTCATACAAAAGGATTTTCCCGCTAATTCCCGTTCCCGCGGGAATTCCTATGTATACTATAACCTGCCCAGGAGTATGAAGAATAATTGTACCAAGTTTCGTCAAAATCCGTTGAGCAGTTTTTGTTTCTATAAGGAACATACAGACAGACAGACAAAAATTTTACTGATTGCATTTTTGACATCAGTATCGATCACTAATCACCCCCAGATAGTTATTTTGAAAATATATTTCATGTACAGAATTGACCTCTCTACAGATTTATTATAAGTATAGATAATCATGACATTTGGTAATAATTTTTATCTTGCTTCAGGTGCTATCTATAGGACATGCCTCAAGAGCGTCCGGCCATAGATTTAGAGTTAATGACATCACATGCCATCCAGTATTACCATTATTGCTTACGACTAGCCATCATAACATATCAGGTAATTATTACAGTGTCTAATTGCATAATCTTAATTAATAGTAGACTAGTAGCAGTAGTAATAGTATTATAGTAGCAGCAAGGTTCTGGAGTGGAGGCCACATACAGAAAAGCGCAGCGTATGACGTCCTCAAGGTCCACTCATAAATGTAGCAGAAAGGCGCTGGATGCGTCATTAGACAACCAACCAACCTATGTTCAGCAGTGGACGTCTTATGGCTGAAATGATGATGATGAAGTAATGCAAAGTATCTCATGTTTTTACGTTGGTCATCTTTTGCAGATAGTGACAGAGAGACCCACAAGCCAGATGACGACACAGCCGCCGGTGGTCTATGTTCTGAGTTGATCATGTGGCGGGTGGAATGTGTGGGGCCTTTGGGCAAATCGGGCGGGGTCTCCGAACTGGCTCGGGTCAATTCGCCCCACTTGTCGGCTTTCAGCAACGTGGCGTGGCTGCCTACTTTGTTACCAAGGTAAGTACCAACACGTTGTTACTTTTTTGCTGTCTTTGGAATAGTTGACTTTAGCGCTCGCCTGTAGCGCCACTGAACAATAAGCTCCTGGTCTCACGTTAAGGCCGGGTAACAGGGAAAATGGCGAAAATGAGGTTTTCATTTTTCATTTTTGAGGTACTAAACAGTACAATAAAAGGCTAAGATTTTTTTTGGGCATAGTTGAGGATATT